TCACGGTCTCTCCTGCCCGGGCTGGCTTTGAACCGTGATCCTCAGATCTCAGCCTCCTGAGTAGCTAGGATTACAGGCGTGAGCCACCAGCGCCCGGCCCCACCTACATTCTTAATTCACCATGGCATCTTCTTCCACAAAGATGTATGTGTGAAGATCCATTTCCCCAATGGAGCTTTGCTTCACAAGATCTGTGTCTTAAATCCTTCTGGGCTGTGCACAGGCAGAGAGGGGCTAGGCCCAGGGTAGGAATGCAGAAGGTATGGGGTATAATGTCGCCATCCTTTAGAGTGAAAACAGAAAGCAAACTGGAAACATGAGGGTGTTTCTTTTTCTTTTCTTTCTTTTTTTTTTTGGTGGGTCTAGGCTTGAGCACCGTCCCTGAGTTCCTTTTGCTCAAAGCTAATGCTCTACCACTTGAGCTACAGCACCACTTCTAGCTTTTTCTGTGATTTAATTGGAGATAAGGATCTCATAGACTTTCCTGCCTCCGCTGGTTTCAAATCAAGATCACCAGCTCTTGGCCTCCCAAGTAGCTAGGATTACAGGCACGAGCCACCGGCTGCTTGTCTTAAACGCAGAAATTTTAAATGCAGACCTTTTCTGTGCATGAAAGCACCGTTGAGTGAATGAAGAAATAAATCACAAAGAAAAGGGACATTCCTGACCAGTATTCAGAACATTGAGAGCCTAAAAAACACTGAAAATAGCCACATTAACCACTAAAAACAATCAAAGGAGATGAATGAACAACTCCTAAACCACACCAGGGAAAAGTGCCTGAGCCCTCTAGGAATCAGAGACAGGCAAGTGAAATCATAATGAGATGGTGTGCACACATCTGACTGGCAGCATTTAATTCTGAAAATGGTGAGTGTCTGAAGCAAGGCGAACTGCCATTCACTGCTGCAGGGAAGCGAACAAATGGGCATCAATCACTTTGGAGAACAACTTAACACTACCTAACAAAGTCACCTGGAGAAGCAGGTGCCAGTTCCACCACTCACTGTCTGCGCTCTGGAAACACCAGGCGCATGGATGAGACGTTCACTACCACAGGATTGTCATTCAGAAAAAAGAAAACCAACACCCACCAAAACGATGATAGGTAAACAAACCCCTCGACAACAGCGGGATACAGAAGCAGATGGTTTATATTAATCAAGCTCTCTTTGTCTATCCTCCTGGATGAATCTCACAAAAACGTGAGGGGGACAAAAGTTTTGTATACATGTATACATGGGATCTGTACCTGAGCTCTTCAGCTCAAGGTGAGCACTCTACCACTTGAGTGCCACTTCTGGTTTTCTGGAGATAAAAGAGTCTCACAGACTTTCCTGCCTGGGCTGGCTTTGAACTGTGATCTTCAGATCTCAGTAGCTAGGATTACAGGCAAAACTCAGCTGTTGTGTTGTTTTGTGTTCTCCCACTAAGACTTGAACTCTTACCACACTCTTACCAATACCCTTTTTCATTCAAAGTTGGCTCTCTACCACTTGAGCCATAGCTCCACTTCCAACTTTCTTGCTGCTGACTTCTCTGCCAGAGCTGGTTTCAAACCATGATCCTCAGATCTCAGCCTCTTCTTAGAATTATAGGCGTAAGCCACCCGATCTTGGCTCCATGCTTTGCATTTTTACAGGGATTTAGAAATGTGCTAACCGGATTTGGAATGGAGTGGGAATTAGAGAGGCGCTTTCTGCGGAGGGCTGGGGGGTAGGGAGCAGGGCTGGGTGGATAAACTTCCTGGGCTGTTTTATTTCTAAGGCTGGGTGGGTCCGCACTTACTACCGTACACTAGAGCACTGACTGGGCCCAGGGCCTTAGTGGTGTCCTGATGTGGCCCCTGCCTTCAGAATTCTTCCTGTCCCTGAGCCTCACTCCTCTAACACTAGAAAGGTAGACAGAGGTGACTCCCTAGCTGCTAGTCTAGGTTAGACCTAAGGAAGAACTTTTCCACTAGGGTTATCAAGCTCCAAAGAGAGCAAAATCTCCCATCCCCAAGATCTCTAAAATCCCACTGATGATTTAAGTGACCCCTGTTCACGTGAGAGGATTTCTCAAGATTTCCCCATGATCCTGCCACCCAGAGTGAGGGCAAGAATGGTTTGTCTCCCCCCCCCCCCCCGCCATCCCTCCTTCTCCTTCTTTTGCAGTCTGCACACACGCAGAGATTAGACTGTGCATACAGAGTTGTGCCCCGTGTTTTCAGCCCCACTCTGCGGCGGTCCAGAGGAAGGGACCTGAGGCTCAGGTGAGGCTGAAGCGCCCCCCTGGGGTTCCCACCCCCTTACCTGAAGCCCAGGAGGATGGTCGAAGCGATGACCAGGGCAGAGAAGGACAGCGCGTAGCCCACCGTGTAGATGATGTAAAGGGACAGGAGCTGCTCCTCAGGGGAACTCTGTGTGTACACAGGGACACGGCGTCGGTGACACAGCCCGTGGCCTCCCGTCTCTGGGACACGGGGACTCAGGTGGGCACCGGGCCAGGCCCCGCTGGGGATTCCAGAGTCAAAGGTGAGAAGGGCCCACAGAGGCCAAGGGCCAGAGAGAGGCGCAGTGCACGCCACCCTGGATCACGGAGCAGGGCCCGTGCCCCACGGGGGCAGGGGATGACCACGACGAGGCCCACCAAGAGCCAGGGTCTCTGGTCCCAGACTCAGAAGCCCTGCCCGTCCCTGCGGGCTCAGAGACCCCCCTCTCTCCTCCGCTCACCTTCTCCCCTCGCTTGGACTCCTCGCACTCCGACAGGTCCCTCCAGGGCAGGCTGGAGTTGTCCCTGTGCAGCCAGAGGCCCTCCGCCGTGCAGAACCTGTACACGTGGCCCTGCAGCACTGGGGAGAGCGCGTGAGATGGCTGAGGCTTGGTGAGAGTCCCTCCTCACCCCTCCTCCTCCGGAGCCGCACCCCTGCTCCCCCCAGCAGAACTAACCCTGCCACGCTAGTGCTCATCCCCCGTACAAGTGCATGCATGTGCACGCACGCGCGCGCGGACACACGCACGCGCGCACACACACACACACTTCTGGGCGGCCTTCCTCTCATACCACAAAACCAAGGATGAAACCCTCTCCCCCACCCCCATTTTTTCCCCCCTGCCAAGGGCCATTTGGAAATTTATGACATCCTTCATCAAGATGTACTGCACTCATGAATTGGCAGGTTGAATTGAAACCCCTTTGTACAATTAAAGATAATTTTTTAAATTATAATAAAAGATTTAAAAATCATTTGTGGCCCATATAAAATTACTTATCTAAGCACATGGCCAGTGCCCACCACTGAGAAACATACGTGTGACATATGACTTTGAGTCCTTCTACGGCCCTCAGGCCATGGCTCATGATACACCTCGATGGCCCAGGGACTGGACAGGGAGTCACTGAGGTGAGGGTCACCTAGCCGCCCTCAGCTTTTCTTCTTGGCCACCCAGAAACACAGTTGGATAAATCTGTATCTTTTTGTGTATTGTTCGTGGGGCTTGAACTCAGGGCCTAGGCGCTATCCCTGGGCCTCTTTGTGCTCAAGGCTAGGGCTCTACCACTTGAGCCACAGCTCCACTTCTGGTTTTTGAGTGGTTAACTGCAGATAACAGTCTCTCGGGGACTTTCCTGCCTGTGCTGGCTTTGAACCGCAACCCTCAGATCTCAGCCTCTGGAGTAGCTAGAATTACAGGTGTGAACCACCAGAGCCTTGGTAATCCGTATCTTTTAAATGAGATAGGAGTAGTCCAGATTCCTCTCCTAAGCCCAGTGTCAAATCATATAACTGGCAATGCTTGGGGTTAAACAGAAGCTGTCCAGCCAGGCTGGAGGCCTAGCGCAAGTGGTAGAGTACCTGCATAGCAAGACAGAGAAAGGCCCTGGGCTCAAACCCAAGGTAGCTAAACATTTCTGACTGTCCCAACCGAGGGTCATTTTCTTCTCATGCTCTGTCAGAAGAAGACCCAAGAACAATCCCAGTGCTGAACTCCTAAGGAGCAAGCGAATGCCTGCCTCAGAGAGCCCCAATCTGAGAGAGGAGACAAACTTTCCTTCAAAGACAGAATATTCTAAAGGGAACACATAATGTCCTGGTGTGGAGACAAGGAAATGCCCTCGGAAGTTCTCCCTTCAAAGGTGGGGAGACAAAGCTTCCCCAATCATATGCTGGAGGTGAAGACAGCCTTCTCAGAAAGAAGCCATGTAAGCCCTACTCACCGGAGCTCACAATCGGAGGGAGAAGGTGCAGCCACTAGTACAAACACCATGGGGGAAAAACAAGAAGTCCTAAGAAAGGAATAGAAACTATGCAAAGCAGCAGGGACCAAACACAGGCCCAGGAAACGTGGGGAGTAGATGGACCTTGCCCACTGCAGCTACCTGAGCATCCAGCTGTGGTCATCTCCCATCATGCCCCACGCCACCCTGCTCAGGGACAGGCGTGGCTGGGAGGGGGCGGCTCAGGTTTGATGAGAAGGGAGGAAAGTATGCTCTTGTAGTTGGGACAAAGTGCTTCTTCACGCTTGCTCCCTGCAAGGGAACTCAAATCTGACACCAGGGAACAGGGGCCAAAAGACTGTGAAGACCAAGTTCCTAGCTATAGGAGGCAGGCACAAGTGTGAGGGAGAAAGAAAGCATGGCGAAAAGACAGACCATGGCGAGATTAGCGATAAGGAAAGGCTGACGTGTGCTGGGGGCTGTGGGAAACCCAGGGCCTACCCCGCGGGCCTACCCCTGCTCCCAGGCAGCCTTCTAATACAAGGACCCTAACTGCCCGTTTCTCAGGACCCTGTCCTTCCCCAGCCACCCCCCTCACCCATCACCCAGCGTGGGTTGCCTTCCTTTCATGAACAAACGGAACCAGGTCCTTCTGGAGATGACAGACGTCGGGGTCCACAGTAACAAATCACCTTCAGCTGTGACTACTTCTGGAAGAATTTGCGTTTTAAACAGAGTCCTCACTTGGAAGAGAAACACAAACTTGAAACTGCCCACCCTGGGAATAACAGCGAGTGGCGCATGGACAGCCCCCGTATCCGTGGAAGAGCAAAGTCGGGCACGGACAAAGGCAGAGAAGGGGATACAGTCAGTCTCATTTTAGCAACTTGAAGAGCTCTTCTCGGGCCCCCACATGCCTCTCTTATCTGCTGCAGAGATGCCTGAAATTCCTGGACCAGGGTTGAGTCTTGGGCTATGGATTTCCCAAGAATACTAATCTGGACCCAGCCCGACCCTGTGGGGAATGAAACTGGTGTCAACGCCACCAGCTCTGGCAACAGTCTGGATGGGAAGGAGGAGGAAGAGGAAGGAGAGGGGCTGGGGATGGACAGGAAGGGAGAGGACACAGAGAGGGAGGTCCTAACACACAAACAGCCAGCCCCCAGCAGCGCGGCTGCTCTATACCACGACCTGTCTACCATGGGCACTCCACAATTGCAGGTATCTAAGCCTTGTCCATCACCAGTTCATGTTTGATCACCTACTGGGTGTTGAACATCTTTGTGCAGTAGACACGGTGAAACTCATTTTACAGATAAATAAACTGAGGCTCCAAAACCCCAGGAGTTTGCCTTGGACATACAGCAGAGTCAGGAGTCTAACTCGTAGGTGTCTAACTGCATAGGTCAAACGGTAGCAGCCAGGCTTGCTGAGAAGTCAACAATGATCCTGTACTATTTCTCCTCCTCTCCCTCTCCTCTGGGGTTGGATTCCCTGACATGCATGTCAATGTGGACTCCTGGCAGCCAGGGCCAGGGCCAGCGAGAGTATGTGAATGTGCACAGATGTGTGCATTCCTGGCACACAGTCAAGGGGCCAGTTATCCCTAGGAAGTTCAGCCAGCTTGCACAAGTGCCCATCAGTTATTCTTCATTAGCATTAAATATTAAAAGCCAGGGCTGGTTCCTGGTTACCCTGTGGTCCCCAGACACCTGTCTAGGCTGGAGGCGGGGTGGTAGGCGCTGCTTATCAGCCCAGCCTTATCTGGCCGGGAGGAGCTGCCAGTCATTTGGCTCAACGTTGTCTACACCAGAGGCAACTGGTGGCCACTTGCCAGGAGGCCCAGGACTATTTCATTAAGCCAGCCCCTGGTGCCGGAAATAAAAACCCCCAATTAAACACTCCCCCACCCCCCAGAAGCTGCCACGGCGTCTGAACTCAAGCTACTGGTGCCCGTCCACATGGACACAGGCACTCAGCATGGCGGAGGGCTGCTAGCGAATCCATTAGTTCCTGCACCATAGCAACCGAGGCAGCTGGGAGGGACCACAGGGCCCCATTTCACAGATGAGGATGCTGAGATTCAGGGAGGTGCTGTCCCCAAAGCGGCAGTGAGGGGTGGAGGTCAAGACAGGCTAGGGCACCAGCTTTGAGTGAAAAAGCCAAGTGAGAGCTCAAGGCCCCGAGTTCAAGCCCCAGTACCGGCACCAACAAAACCAAAACAAATAGCACAGTCATAACAGAGGCCCTGTGGCCTCTGCCACTGAGGCCGGAGACGAAGTAATGATGCCACTTTTGCCAGGACAACTCCAGGGCCGAGCCTCAGTCTGCCGTTGGCAACCCCAGCCTGCCATTAAAGCTCCCAGGCTCAACATGACTTAGAGGAGATGCCTGCCAGAGTTTCTAAGAATTGTGAATGATAGGCTATTTTAAAAGCGTTTTATGACTCTCCTATAATTAGAGCTAAGCTAACAAACAGGTAGGAAGCAGGAGAGCTAATGAGGCTGGGACGGTTGGTGAGCAGCAGACCCGCTGCTGGTGGGTAAAGGAGGCTGTGGAAGGCGTGGAGGTGGCGGCCGGCGGCCTACAGCACTCAGGCCTCCTCCTGTGGGCTGACCAGACTCTCCCTCATCGGCTCCCCTCAGAGTCACAAGTCCTCGGTTAGAAGGGTCCAATGACAGGGGCCTGGCTGCCCTGGGACCTGCCTGAAGCCTGTGGCCTCATGTCCAATGCACCACCCCAATGTCTTTCCCCGGGGGAGGGCCCTCCTCGGCCCGGCGCCATCTTCCCATTCCTCCAGGCCTCAGGATCATCTGCGCCTTCCCAAAGCCACACCCCAGGCCTCAGAGGGGTCCTGTCCTTCCTTCCTCAGCACCCGAACCTGTGCCACGAGCTCCAGGGAGAAGATCCTTCTCTCCACGGTCACCCTTCACACACCTTCTCATGAAGACTTAGCTTACATCTGGCTATTGTTCAGAAGCGAATCCCTTCTCAGATCACCCACTCCTCTCTCGGCCTGTTCTTATCCCAGAGAGTGGATCAGCGTTGGCCAGTGGGAGGCGCTGGCAGAAGAGGAGGCGGAGAGAAAGAGTCTGGGCATTGACCCCAGCTCTCTCCCTCCCTCCTCCACAGCCCCCTCCTCGGGGAGGGCTCTGAGGTTCTGGCTTCCCATGGCTGCCCCAGTGTCCTCACTCCTGCCCCTGACTCATCTGCTCTAGGATTATTAAGCCTCCCACCTCACGGTCCTGTGGCCTTGTCCAACCTCTGCGGGGAAGTCCTTCCCGTTCCCTCCATCCTTCTAAATGGGTCTGAGAGGTCAGCAGGGACGGAGTCCATCCACTTCTCAACTCATAGGGTCAAGTTTCTCCATGGGCAGCTTCCTGGGTTACACCCCCCCCTAAAAGCAAGCTTCAGAACTGCTCCCCCACTCCCTGAGGGGAACCCAGGGAGCCCCAGTTCCCGGGAGAACTCCACATGGGGCCTGGGATGTCCACTTTGTGGTGGGAGTCTAGGTGGGTGTCTCTCCACCTCAGGTGGGAAGGGGAGGCAGATTCTGAGTGAATTAGCCTGGTGAGCATGGGGGGCTGGGGGGGAGGAAGGCCGGCGGGGGGCCTGTGCAGAGGCCGTTATCTTCATGGAGAAAGCAATAAAACCATGCGCGCTCATAAACGGGCACCACCAGGACCTATTTCCTGCTCAAATAAAATTAAAGGTGATGGATGGCGCCACACGTGGCAGGCAGCGCTGGGGGCGCTCGGTGCTGAGTGATGGGCCTTGTCCCCGGTCTGGCTCCCCGGGGTCTAGAGCCACCGCGGGCTCCCAAATCTCCCAGAGGCAGGGAGGACGGGTGGGAGAAAGGAGCAGCGATCCCACAAGCCTGACTCCATCCCAGCTTCCAAGGGGGTAAACCCAGGGCCCAGAGAGGTCTGGCAAACTTGGTCCCTGCTCACACAGCTGCCCTGGCCATCCACAAACAAAAGCCTAGGAGACTGAAGGGCTCGTGGGAGGGGGCAGGGGCTCGCTGCTTTCCCACTTGCCTCTAGACAGCAGGGGTCCGGGCCACTTGCCTGTGTCTGGGTGAGCGCCCTTCTCCAGACAGAGGAAGCTGGTGTAGCAATAAACACAGTGACAACACCAGTCTCCAGGAAAGACTCCCAGGGCCGACTGCCCCGTAGCTGTGTGAGCTTGGAGAAGCTATTCAGACTCTCTGTGCCTCAGTGTGTTGATCTGAAAATGGGAAGCAATCTGGGGACTTGTCTTGGAGGGACACTGGTGGGAAGGACTGAAGGACAGGGGCACCCCGTCACGAGGTCTGTGGCTCCTTGAACACCTCCTGTGTTTGTTCCTCACAGAGGAAGCCAGGGTAGAGGGGTGGAGCGGGGGCATCGCACTACCCCTCCATATTCACCCAGGGTCTCCCCACAGGCAGCGGGGAGCTGCCTCCCACCCATGTCCTGACCACCGATCCCCATGAACCCCTAAAAAGGCAGGAAGCAAGCGAGGCACCTGTGCATGCACATCGTAACCCCCATGTACACAGGCAGACACACACACGTACACATATACACATACATACACACCAGGATCTGTTCACACCTGTACGTGCACCCCTCAGACACACATGCACACGCACACACCAGGATCTGTTCACACCTGGCTCCCCTCACCACTAATCAGACAGGGTTACATCCCTACCTTACATCAGACTCAGACCCCTCCCCCCATCCCTGGCAGCAGACCTCAGGCCACCCTGACACCTGGCACTTCTGAAAGGCAGGTGGGCTACTACTAGGCGGCCTGGGGACGTTCCCGGGTGGGAGGGCAGAGTCTCAGGGAGGGAAGCCGGGCTCCCTCCTGCCCCGGCCTCGGGGCACAGCGACACTCACCACTGCTGGCCCAGGGGAGGTACCAGGGGCAGCTGACATTCACGAAGGATCCAGGGGGCCCGTCCGGCCAGCAGGCATAGTCGTCGAAGGTCCGGTTGCAGAAGAGGCCTGCGGGTGATGGGAAGCCCTTTGAGTCCGCTTGGACCCGGCTCAGCACCAGGGCCGACTCTGCTGATCTCTGCTACGCACTCAGTGTGAGGCACCCTCACCTCCCAGCAGGGGTCAGGCAAGGGCACTGGCCACCCACCTAGGTGGGGCCTTGAGCAGGCTACTTGGGATATGTTCTGCGCCACAGGGCATGAAGGCTGCGAGTGGGTAGACAACTGAACAGAAAATGCTTACTAAACACTCCTGTCTGCCCACATCAGAGGGAAATGGTGGCTCATGAGCTGAGGAAACCTTCCCGTGTTAGGATTGGAGTCAGGATCAGAACTCAGGCCCAGCTTTGTCCAAGACCATATCCTTTAACCATCCCCTTTCCCAATAAACCCTCTCCAAAAGATTCTGACAAGTATGTATGGCACGGCACCAACAACTCCCCACCCTCCATAATTTTTTTTTTCCACTGTGGGGCTTGAACTCAGGATTTAGGTGCTGTCCCTGAGTTCTGTTGCTCAAGCACTCTACCTCTCTGAGCCACAGCACCATTTCCAGCTTCCTGGTGGTTCACTGGAGATGAGTCTCTCGAACTTTTCCTGCCTACACTGGCTTTAAACAGCGATCCTCAGATCTCAGCCTCCTGAGTAGTGAGAATTACAGGTGTGAGCCACCAGCGCCCAGCTAATGTCAGCTGATTCTGGTAAGTGTTTGTTAGGCCTGGGATGAGTTGCTGAGCAGAATAGAAAACAGAAAGGTCAGGTCTCTGGACTCACAGCAAGGCCAGGGCCCAGGGAGTGAAGATAAAGTAGCAACAAGGAAGACATCCCAAAGCTGCCTACAGGCCACAGGCAAAGACCACAGAGACTCGTGGGGAGGGAGATGCTGGAGCTGGAATCCATGAGCCTGGGTGGTGAGGGAAGGCACGCAGGGAGGTGACGGCACAGCCACAGGAAAGGGGGCCAGGGGTGGCGGCACTCTACAGGAGCCAAGGATGCCCAAGCATGGGCATGGGGACCATCAACGCCTTCTGGGGGCCCTGTTGGGGGGGCAGGAGGAGAGCCCTACCTGGACTCACCTGTGGCAGGAAGTGGAGCCTCGGTCAGGAAGCGCTGGCACTGGCGTCGGTACTCTCGCCATTTCTGCACTGTCTCCGAGAGGGACACGGTGGCACCCTGAAGGACAGAAAGGGGGGCTGTGGGTTTGGCTGGCCCTCCATCTACACCGACTTCCATCGGGGTGTGTGTGGGGGGGGTGTCGGTGTGTGTGTGTGTTGGTGTGTGTGTGTGTGTGTGTGTGTGTGTCCTGGGGCTTGAACTCAAGGCCTGGGCACTGTCCCTGAGCTTCTTTTGCTCAAGGCTAGCGCTCTACCACTTGAGCCACAGCTCCACTTCCGGCTTTTCTATTTATGTGGTACTGAGGAATCGAACCCAGAGCTTCATGCCTGTGAGGCAAGCACTCTACCACTAAGCTACCTTCCCAGCCCTCCACTCTTGGTCTCCAGGGGTCCTTCGAGCCACAAACCCCAGCAGGCTCTGGCCACCTCTGCAAAGGGCGAGGACTGTGGCTCAGGGCAGAGGCAGAGACTTCCCCAGGGGACTGTGCCTGGGGTAGTAGGTGCCCAGGAAATGCCTGATGCTTTGGAGGGCGGGTAAGAGGAAAGCAGAGGGTGTAGGAGTTTGGGGTGTGTCTGTCTTCACCTAGGAATCACTGCCTGAAGCCAGGGCTTCATCATGTTCTGGCCAGCCTGCTTGAGGCTTTCTGGTACTTTCCACCTTTGAAAATAGGACACACGGGTCAGAGTGGGAGACTAACTCAACCAAGAACACACAGCAGCTGGAGAAGCAGAGTGAAGCCTGGCTATGCCAGAGACTGAGGGTGAGGTGGTCAGGTGACATCCCTTCTGCCCCCCCCCCCCCCACCCCAGGAGGGCCACAGACACACCCTGGATCCATTCTAACATATCACAGACCCAACATGAAGCTTGGCTTTGATCCACCAGGAGGAAGAGGGGTCCTGAGGACATGGCGGGGGAGTGAGGGGGAGTCAGGAAGGTTCCAGAACACTGAAGTCCCACCTGCAATGGGAGAGGGCTCCTACTTGAGTGGGGAACACAAGCCTTAGCTTACAGATAAGGGCATCGGCTTAAAAAAAGAAATCTTGGGCTGGGAAGGTGGCTCTGTGGTAGAGTGCTTGCCTTGCATGCCTGAGGCCCTGGGTTCGATTCCTCAGCACCACATAAGCAAAAAGAAAAAAGCCGGAAGTGGCGCTGTGGCTCAAGTGGTAGAGCGCTAGCCTTGAGCTGAAGAGTTGAGGGACAGCGCTCAGGCCCAGAGTTCAGGCCCCACAACCGGCCCCCCCCCAAAATAAAGAAATCTTTCTGGGTGTTGGTGTTGGTGTTTGAACTCAGGGACTCACGCTTGCTAAGTGGTGTTCTACCACTTGTACCATAGCCCCCTTTTTGCTTTTAGTTCTTTTTAAGTAGCATGTATGCCCAGGTCACCCTGGACAGTGATCCTTGTATGTACACTTTCTGGGTAGCTGGGATGACAGGTTGAGATGGAGTCTTGTGAACTTTTTTTTTTTGCCTGGACTTGAACTTCAATCCTTCTGATCTCAGCCTCCTGAGTAGCTAGGGTTGCAGGCACGAGCCACAGCATCTGGCCTGGCATTGGCTTAAAAAAATACTTTTATTGTTTTTATAAAGGTGATGGACAGGAAGTGGCGCTGAGGCTCAAAGCGGTAGCGCATTAGCCTTGAGCAGAGAGGCTCAGGGACAGTGCCCGGGTCCTGAGTTCAGGCCCCGCAACCAACAAAATAACAAAAGACAATAAAGGTGATGTACAGAGGGTTAAGGTTGGCTTTGGGGCACGCCGCTCCCAACACCCTCTCTGCCCACCACATCCCTTCTACACATCCCTGGGCTCTTCCTTTGGTTATTTCTTGGGCTGTGATGTTTTTTTAATTTTCACCTCTTTTTCCCCCTCAGCAGCCTTAAAGATGATAAATATTCCTCATTTAGGAGCTTCAATTGTCAAAATGACAGAGCGCTCCGTGGATAAAATGTAAGATCTAGATGTAAGTTCAAAATGAAATTTCACTGCCTGAAATCACAAGATACACACGTGGGCTGAGACGCACACATCTTTGGTTCAGACCCAGGGCCCAGGACCTCCGACGCCCCAGCACGCACTGAAGCCAGCTTCACAAGACCCCTCAGCACAAAGACACGGGTTGCCATGTCCCTGCCACACAGAAAGTTCCAGAGAAGTGCTCTGCTTGCTTTGGGCCCCAGAAACATCCTTGGAGGGAGTGAGCTGGTGAGGCTGTCCAGAAGAGAGCTCCTCTGACGGCAAAAATCAACTGTATTTGTTTTGGGGAAAAATAAGAAAAAGAAATCAAGAATACCAAAAGCTAAGGGAGTGTTGTGATTCAGCGGAGGTGTCTGCCAGTGAGGCCCCGCACCACCCACTTCTCTGCCAGCCTCCAAGGTGGCGGCTGCCAGTGGTGGGTGGGCAGAGAGTCAGGAGACAGGAGAGAGGGAGGGAGGGAAGGAGAGAGGAAGGGAAGGAGGGAAGAAAGGAGAGGGAGGGAGGGAAGGAAGGAGAAAAGGAGGGAAGGAAGGAAGGAGAGAGGGAAGGAGGGAGGGAAGAAAGGAGAGGGAGGGAAGGAAGGAAAAAGAGGAAGGGAGGGAAGGAGCAAAGAAAGGAGAGAGGGAGGGAAGGAAGGAAAAAGGGGAAGGAAGGGAAGGAAGGAAGGAGAGAGGGAGGGAGGGAAGAAATGAGAGAGGGAGGTAAGGAAAAAGAGGAAGGAAGGGAGGGAGGGAAGGAAAGAGAGAGGGAGGGAGGAAAGAAAGGAAGAAGAGAGGGAGAGAGGGAAGAAAGGAAGGAAGGAAGGAAGGAAGGAGAAGGGAGGGAGGAGAGAGGAGAGAGGAGGGAGGAGGGAGGGGGCTGCTGGGAACTTGGCTGAGGGGAGTCTAGTCAAGGTCTCCAGGAGTGGGGAGGGTCACAGGACGTCCACCCTGCTGCCATCCAATGTAGGTGGCCCTGTCACCTACACTGGGCAGAGTGTGACATGAAACTACTGTCTCTGGGGTTCCCTGAGGCCCGGTGGTGTGTGATGTCTTCCTCAGACTCCCTTGGTCAGAGGGCTGAATCTCCCCGCTGGAGGCAGGGGGGAGGGCGGGCTCTCAACAACACAAGGATTCCTGCATTTGCTACCCCGCCCCCCCACTCCACTCCTGTTCTACACGGATGCAGAACAAACCCAGGCCTCGGGCCTCTCCTACACAGGGTTTCAGGGGAAGCATGACCATGCCAGTTCTGGGTGGGCTACAGAGGTGGTGGACAGAGCCTGGCTGAGTCCTCAGGCTGCGTGGAGCAGGGGACAAGTGATTACACGGAGGAGGTAATGAGCAACCCTCGCAGGAGTTTGGAGGGGGGCAGGTCTCGGTGTAGACTTGGGGACCAGGGTCCTCCTAGGACTGTGAGTTAGGAACAGGACAAAGAGCGGGTCGGGGGAGACCATGCCTGCAGGAGGAGCATGGAACATGGGTGCTCTGTGGAATGTTCTGGGGCATGGGAGAGAGGGTGGGACAGATGGAGGCTCTCGTCTGGGAGGAGGCTGGGTAGGTGAGGCTGAGGCGCCGGGTCCGGTGAGACGGCAGGGGAGGTGGGGGGAAGGGCCCTTGGCCTTGGTCTGAGCTTGATCTGGGCACCCCAGGAACAAGGCACAGACTTGGTGTGACTTCTAACTTGCTGGGGCATAATTGAGCAGAGAGGAGGTGGGGGCCTGGGGTGTCCCGGAAACTGCTGTCTTCCCATCCCCTCCTGCTCATCCTAGACCCCCCCCACCCGTACCTGAAGAACTGTGCAAAGGGGGCTCGGTCAGTGCAGCTGTCCTCAGGATTTCTGCTAAAGAGGGGAGGCCTGGCATCCTAGATCTGGGGGCTCCACCCACTCTCCTTGACTCCCAGAAGGGGAAACCAGCGTTGTTACATCCAAGGACCAACGGGTGGCTTCCCTGGTGATGTCTTCCACAGCAACCACAGCCAAAGGCAAAGAAAAGTCCAGGGAGGGGGAAGACCCACTGCCCACCTCCTCCTCCTTGGTGACCTGAGCCCCTCTCCAAGGGTCCCGTCCCTGGATGGCAGCACTGGCCGGACACCACGGCAGGAAGGGCCCTGGAGCGCAGAGGAAGAGCAGACTGGCAGAATCAGAACCAGGAGTCCCTCAGAGGAGGAGGGTGGCAAGGGGGACAATGCGGGGACACCTGGCAGTTTGAGGACTTGGGGAGAGAAACAGGAAGCTGTGGAGGGGTCCTGCGGGGGAGAGCACTGCACAGGGAGTCATGAGTTCCTCCTTGACCTCTCAGCTCTCATCTGTTCACACAGTATATCCATTTGGGCCTGGGATTCCCCACCGGCAAGCGGGCATCTCGTCCCCTGGGTTCCCGCAAGTGGAGCGGGAGAGAAGCTCTGACCTGCCGCGCCCTGCCCAAGCTCACAGTGCCCAAGCTCGCAAGGCCGGGTGGAGCAGGAGCAGCAGCAGGAGGTGAGGGGAAAGAGGGAGCAGGAGGGAAGGAAGCTCCCGAGGTGGTGGGCCTTCCCACACCTGGAGAATGAACCCCTCTGCAAAGCCTGACCACAAATGGAAAAGGCTGTTTTTCTCCACGTCAATCCAGGCACCAGATTCTTTCCTTTTCTGGAAAGCTTTTGGGTTGAAGGGAAGGGGGAAAGAAGCCCCAGCCTGTCTGGGCCGCTGCGCAGGGAACGACAAGGAAGGAAGGCTCCCCAGAGCAGTGAAGGATCCAAGGAGAACTTTCTGGAAGCTCCAACCAGTTCCTCTCCTCCCAGGTCCTTGGCCTCCTCCCCCACCTCCCACAGCGTCTCCTATCACGGGCCCTGGAAGGTGGGGTGTGGACCTCCTGCCTTTGTCCCCACTTGGTTCTTTCTGAACAGAAGGGTAGGACAACTGGCCAGCTCTCCTCAACTCAGGATCCCCAGCACCCCCATACATACTCGGGTCACCCCACCCACCCTCAAGGGCATTCCAGCCCCAAGACCCTGACCCTGAGTCTACTCCTCCAAGAAAACCACACAGATGACCAGACACACACTCACCTGCCCACAACACACCTCTCCCCACCCCAGACACAGACAAGCACACGTCTGTTCACTCACCAGGATGCCACTCACACTGCAAGACTCTCCCAGGTCAAGGTAACCACACACCGGGGCACAAACAGCCCACCGTTGGACACACAAACACACACTAAAGTGTTGCTAGACACACTGTACCAGGGGCTCATACCCTGCACCCTCCTCCCCCATGGCCTATCTTATATATTTCCTCATCACACATGTGCACGCACACGCATGCGCAAGCGCACACACGCACACACATGCACATGCACATGCGCACACACACACACACAAATTTGCCCCAAGGATAGGCTACACTTAAGCCAGGGCCTGGCTTTCCTCTGTGCAAGGCATCTGAGGGCAGGCTGTGGTTTCTTGTCTGCGCCGGCCGGCTGTCACTCTGGGTCTGTGTCCCTCCCAGCTCAGAACAAAGTCCGCACTGCCCAACACACAGCTCTGGCCTCCATCACGCTTTCCTGGAATGCGGAGGCCAGGGCCTTTCAGTATCCTCTCTCAGGTTCTAGTCATAGCCGTGGGAACACGCCAGGTCCCCAAGGACAAATGCACAAAAGTCCTCCGTCCCAGCCCCAGGGGCTAAGGCTGCGGATTCAAGATGGCAACGCCCCCCTCGGCTTCAAGGCCCTAAGCAATAAAGTTAAGGACCTCTATTTACAGATGAGGAAACCGAGGCTCAGGTTGGTAAGCATCCCGTCCAAGATCACCAGGCATGAGCAGAGTAGATGGGTAAACCAATGCTATGTGGTTTTAATGCTGATCCCTCACCTGAGTTGGGGGGCCGGGGGTTGAGAGCTTGGTTACCTCCCTACCTGCAAGGAAACAGCTTCTCACACCTACCAGGCGGCTGCTTCCTCTGCACTGCCTTCAGGCCCACCTCAGGGCAGCTCCTCCCCCACCCTTCTGCCTCTCCCAGTCCCAAGCTGTGACACCACTTGGCCTAGGGAACCATCTTCTCCCCAGCTCTCATCCGGCCATCACCACCCCACACTCAGGGACACACGGTGGGCAGTGACGCCAGCCTTGCTGAGCTCAGAAAATAAAAAAGGCAAAACATATTTGTTAGTGTCTTGTCCACTTGCATAAGGTCTGGCCACAAATCCTGTGGTCTAACCTCAGAGCGGCCTGTCCCTCACATCTCTGCAGTGGCACTGGCCTGTGCCCCACAAGGAGGCCAGCCCTTCCCCCAAGATCCAAGCTCCCTGCTCAATACCTGCACTTCCGGTCCTTTGGGCCAAGGCTCAGAGGTGTAGGGGGAGGGATCTGAGGGAGAGGCCAGTTAAGGAGCCTGACATCTGGGGGTGGGGGTGGAGAGAGGGGAGTAGGGGGAAGGCAGGCACCCCAGGAACCTTTGCTCTGGAATCCTAACCAGATCTGCACCTGGTCTATGGCAGCAGCATCATGGGGCTGGCCCTTCAGTGTGGGTGGCTGGGACAGATCCCAATGTCACCCCAAGAACCAGGGCCTGCAGGTCGTAGGGAGGGAGACAGCGTGGGCCAGGAAGAGACTGGGGGCGGTGGTTGGTGCAGGGGGAACAAGAAGAGGGGCCCATTAAATGTGGAACAGAAAAAGGTGCTTGGTCCCCTTAGTGGAGACCCACCTGGCCACACACCTGAGCCTTCACACCTCAAGAACTCAGTTCTTCAGGTGTGGGGGGGGGGGTCTAGGATGAGCAGGAGGGGATGGGAAGACAGCAGTTTCCGGGACACCCCAGGCCCCCACCTCCTCTCTGCTCAATTATGCCCCAGCATCTTTAGACCCCAGACACCCGCCGGCCTCCCCCCTCCCTCCCTCCTTCCCACGGGCAGGAACCTGGGGCAGAAAAAGCAGGCAGGGCAGGGGAAGCTCTGGAGCTTCAAGGGTCCACCTGCAGCCCCAAGGAGATGGACGCACCAAGGAGATGGGGGCGTCCCTGCGTGTCCCCATGTGCCTTCCAGTGAGGGCCTCAATGCGGGGGGGGTGGGTGGGATTAGAGGGGTGCCGGCAGCGGGGTGGAGGGGGCCGGGCGGCCTGGGGCCGCCTGCTGCGGAGCGTGGGGGGGGTTCCCCGTGGGAGGTCACCGGGAAGGACGACTCGCCGCCACCGCAGGGTCTCTGGGGCTATGAGTCAAGGCCGTGCGGGGAGGCGGGTGGGGAAGCGCCGGGTCCCCACATCCTGGTCCTCTTGGCGTTCCCGGATCTTTCCCCGGGTTTTTTTCCACCCGGAGGGCTGAGTGCGCGGGGAGGGCCCCCCGCTGGCCAGGGGTCCCGGGCGCACGGCGGGGCCGGGCCCGGGGCTGGGGCTCCCGGAGCAGCAAGGAGTTGGGAAAGTGGTCCGGGAGGGACGGAGACGCGACGCTC